GTTATGATTTGACTCCGTTTTGTATGTGGTTTCTGTTTTTATATTCTCATTTTTTCCATAGCACCGGAGCTGGAACTTATCTTCATTAAATACCATATTATTTTCTGTAGCCCATAGAAAGACCTGATTTACATCTGATTGGAGTTTGCTGTATTCTCTAAGTTGTCTACTCTCACACAAATCCTAGTGTCATCTGCAAAGGATGATACAGTACTATGCAGATTGTGTCTTGTCCATGTCCGATATGAGGATAAGAAAAATTACTTGAGTAACTACCCTGGGGGACAGAGCTTTTCACAGTTGATGGTCAGGATTTTATTTTGTTGATGTGACGGACCTTGGCGCCAACTATGATCCAGGTTCCGAATTAAAATAGTTGACCCTACCATTAATATTAGTTTCCCATCTTTTAGTCTTCTGTTCTGGGAGGTGAGGAGGTACCGGTGACTAGTAACAGACGGCACTGAAGCAGAGACAGTGAAGCGGTACATAGGTCGACCTTGGGACGCCTCTGTGGGAAAGTGCTAGCCATAGGGCTAGTGGAGCGCTGGAAGACGTCGCCATAACTGCAGCTAGCGTGAGGGCTAGTGATGCGCTGGACGACCTCGTCAGAGAATTGTATATTGTGGTAGTTGTAATAATAATAATAAGGGTTATTTTTAAGTGCAATTTCATTTATCTTATCTTACCTTAAACATTTATATTGCATTTCCACCAAGGTTAGGATCTCTGGACTTGAGAAGGATCGTAGGGGTTAAAAGAACCCGGTTACGGAGGAGTTCCTAACAGTTGACTATTACACACTGGGTTCTGTTAGTCAGGAAATTGTAAATCCATCAGCCTATTTTTCGTGTAATTCCTTTTGAACGCATTTTGTGTGCAATAACACCATGGTCACATTTGTAGAAGGCTTTTGCGAAATCTGTGTAAATTACATCGGTGTTTTGTTTTTCTTCCAAGACATCTGAGGCCATGTAATAGTGGTCCAGCAACTGTGACAGGCAAGAGTTCTGAAACACTGTTCTGAAACACTGTTGTCCAGGGTTGTGTAGATTCTGTGATTCCATGTATTTTGTGATCTTACTTCTTAGCACTCTTTCAAAGATTTTTTATGGTGTGTGATGTTTGCTATCGGTCTGTAATTTTTTGCCTCTGCTTTATTTCCTCCTTTATGGAGTGGTGCTATCTCTGCTGTCTTTAGTATGTCGGGGATAACGCCAGTATCTAGGCTTTGCCTCCAAAGAATGTGAAGGGCCTGCGACAGTGCTTTTTTAGTTCTTGATGAATATGGAGTTCCAAGATTCAGGGTCTGGTGGAGTGTCTGTCATCTTACTTTCTATGGATTCTTCAAAATCCAGTGGGAGGTTAGGGTGACGTCTGATATGATTTGATGTTGGCATTACATCCGTGAAAAATTCATTTGGGTTATCAATCTTCAGTGTGTTTAGTGGCTCGCTCAAAGCAGTCATATTGATTCCTCAGCATTTCGCTCATTTCTTTGTTGACATCTGTGAAAGTTCCATCCCCCTTTCGCAGAGGCGAAATAGGGACACTAAAGAACTCAACCTCGTGAATTCGGGTCCTTGGTCAATAGCCTTGGCTCTCAACGACTTCTGTGAAGTCTGTAATGGTCAAAGTGGATAACGTGTTGGATACGCTGGTGTTTGGAACACCAGGCAATTTAAGGTTCGAATCCTTCACGAGGTTGAGTTCATAAGTTAAATATAACTTGTGCGTTTATGCAAGAGTGTGGGTGTGTGTGTGTGTAATTACCTAAGTGTATTTACAGGATGAGAGCTACGCTCATGGTGTCCCGTCTTCCCAGCACTTTTTACCATATAACGCTTTGAATTTTCTGACGGTTTTGGCCTCCACCACCTTCTCACCTAACTTGTTCCAACCGTCTACCACTCTGTTTATAAAAGTGTTTTTTTTTAATATTTCTCCGGCTTGTCTAGTTAGTTTAAATCTATAACATCTTGTTCTTGAAGTTCCAGGTCTCAGGAATTTTTCTCTATCAATGAACCCCACAATTCATTTAGCTAAACAAGTTACAATCTTGATGAGATAGTTACAAAATACAGTAAAAGTCGCCACATCATAAATGGGTTCGAGATCGACCACAAGTACAGTTTCTAAATTAAGCAACTGACATGTGTGGAGAGTTAGTGTCACAATTGATATGTTTGTCCTGCACACCGCCCCCCCTCCAGTGGGCAGCGGTGGATAGGTTACAGTCACTTAGTTACTACCTACCAAGTACAATGTTCTTAATGAGGTCCTAAGGAGACAGGTTTTTTTTTATTTAGAACCATCCCTAGATCTTTCTTTATCAGAATTCTTTAAAGATTTCTCATATTATTTATAGATTGTTTGGGGTCTATGTTCTCCTATTCCACATTCCATAACATGAAATTTATTCACATTAAATGCCATTTGCTAAGTGGTGTTCCATATACTTATTTTGTCCAGGTCATCTTGCAAGGCATGACAATCATCTAAGTTTCTTATCTTCCCTATTATCTTAGCATCATCAGCAAACATGTTCATATAATTCTGTTTTCCATCTGGTAGATCGTTTATGTAGACAATGAACATCACCGGTGCAAGAACTGAACCCTGTGGTACTCCGCTAGTGACATTTCTCCAGTCCGATATATTGCCTCTGATTACTGCCCTCATTTTTTTATCAGAAAATTTTTCATTCATGTTAGAAGCGTACCTGTCACTCCTCCAATATGTTCCAGTTTCCAAAACAACCTCTTATGTGGAACTCTGTCGAAAGCCTTTTTTTTTAGGTCCAGACAGATGCAGTCAACCCAGTTATCTCTTTCCTGTAAAATCTTTGTGGCTCGATCATAAAAACTGAGTAAATTCGTTACACAGGATCTTCCAGATCAAAACCCATACTGACTCTGATTTTATATCTTTTTCTCCAGGTGTTCTACCCATTTACTTTTAATATTTTTTTCCAATATTTTGACTATTACACTTGTCAGTGATACAGGTTTATAATTGAGGGGGTCTTCCCTGATGCCACTTTTGTAGATTGGAACTATTAGCCTTTTCCCACACATCTGCTACGACTCCTGTACACAGTGATGCCTGAAAAATCAGTTGAAGTGGAATGCTGAGCTCAGATGGACATTCTCTCAGAACCCATGGTGAAACTCCATCTGGGTCAACTGCTTTGTTCTTTCTTACTTCCTTTAGCATTTTTTCCAGTATGCCTCTACACACCTCTATGTGCTCTATGTTGTTCTCTGGCATTCTTATTGTGCTTGGTTCCCTGAAGATTTTATTTTGTACAAACACTCTTAGGAACTTTTAGTTTAATGTTTCACACATTTCATTTTCATTTTCCGTTAATCTGTTTCCCATTTTCAGAGGTTGAAAACGGGAAGCAGATCCTTTATCTTTTACCTGCAATTTGTTGTTTATGAATTTATAGAATAGGCCTGGTTCTCTTTTATATTTGTCCACAATCCATTTTCAAAATTTCCTTCTGCCTCTCTCCTCGCTGTCGTGTAGTTGTTTCTCACATCTTTGTATCGCTGGTATGTTTGGGGGTTTGGCGTCATCCTATATTGATTCCATTTTTGTCTTTTGGTCTCTGGCCCTCTCGCCATTTCTGTTGAACCAATCCTGTTTCCTGGTTCTGCTTTGGTGTAATTTTTTTTGTGCCTTTATCATATATTTCACAAAACTTGACATACATCTCATGACTTGCCTAGCAACAAGTCTGTCCAATTATACTCATTAACAAATGTTCTAAGGTCCCCATAATGTCCTCTCCTGAAGTCAGGTTTTTGTGCTTCAACCTCATTAGACGAGAACTCCTGGATGGATTTGAAGAAAGTAGAACAGTGCAAACTGGAACTAGCAGGTCCACTGTTCAACACAATGAAATGTGTGAAGTAAAACATGTGTATGGGGCAAGTAACAAAGTCAGTAGACTAACAGATGTTGTCACAGCTCGTATAAGACTTGGCTACAAGTATCTCTGGCAGTTTGGCTTGTATAGGGATCTAGATGAAGTAAAGTGTAAAGTGTGTGGACAAAGACAGGGGCACATTTGAACACTATATCTTGGACTGTAGTAAAATTGAGCCATTTAGTGATGGGTCTGAGCTCACGCTGTATGATATGGCAACCTATCTTATTACCATGGATAAATTACCTGAAATCCTTGCACTGTATCCATATTTCGCTCCCAGTAGATAAACGACATATGAGATTAAGAAACAAGTAGTGTATTGTGAAGACTAATAATAAACAGAAGCTCCCCTATGACTCTGTAATATCTCCATTGGTCAAACTATTATGTATTAGCGATAAGACCTACCATTATGTATAATGACTTACTGTAAATATATACCTCTTGAAATAGCACTTTAACTAGCTGACATTGTAACTATAAGGTGTGAAGGATAGATGAAATTATGTAATAATCTAAGATGAGGTCTGATAAAGACCTTTTGTGCCCTCTGTAATGCTTTTTGCGCTACCGCTCACAGGATGGGTATGGGGTGCACAATAAACTAGCAGCCTCCGGCGGCAACAAAACAAACCTCCTAATTTTCATCCAGATTATAACGCGTTGCATACTTTATTCTTAAAAGGACGAGTGTGTGTGTATAATTATATATATATAATATATATTATATATTATTATATATATTATTATATATATATATATATATATATATATATATATATAACTAAAATAATAATATATACCCAACATAAAACTATGGAACACAAAAACTATACAAAATGTGTAATGACCGTTGAGAGGAAGAGGCAGCCACTGCGCTGCAATCCTGACGCTTCAACATTTCAATATTGTTGTGTTTTGTGACATTAAAAGCTATTCCAAATTAACGTTCCCTTGACCAATGAGCATTGTCTCGACAGGTTGTGTAACGTAGGTTAGGCTTTTGGTTAGGAAAAATCACTTAATTTTGTACGCTAGTCAAATTGTGGTCGTAGTTACGAACCTCTACGTTGCAGGACTCGTATTTCTTGGACTTGCCAGTACAGTCTTGAGGGCTGTGGAGAGAAGAACAAGAACATCATTAGAAATGTTTAATGGCTATGAGAGTTCTGTGCTTACATTACCCCGAAACGCTTTGCGTATCATTAAATAAATGTTTACTCTAAGAACTGATTAACCACTATATTATGCTGTGTACATTTATTCAATATTTTTTTCCTTTTTAGCAGGGCTATTCCTGCGTGGGCCCTAAGCTTCTGGCTGGGCCAAATAAAATGATTATTATACTTAAAGCATGCATGTATATACACAAGGATACTAGTGATTATGAGGTTGTATTTGCATTGGAATATGACGATATCAACAAAACTGGTGCAAACGGCAAGAAGTTGCATGGGTTAGTACCTGCGCTTATTTGTAGGTTAATCTCTAACATTTGTGTCTGTCTACCGTGAGAACGAGCCGGGGAATCCTGTTTATCTACTGAGAATTTCAAGAGTTTTGCCCGAACAGCCTAGCTTGTGGTCGGAATTTCCGGAACTTCACTATAGCTGCCCATTGTTTACTTGCGTCCTTCTTCCTATATGTGCAGACATCTACCTCCTATTACTCATTGATTGCAGGACTTGCTGACACAGTTATGTTTGCAGTTACCGCTGGCACAGTGTTCCTAAGTACCTTGAGACCATTTATGCTGAAAGGGGGTTCTCTGTTCTAAATATCGCAAGAGGTCTTAAATATCATTGAGATCTTGGGTAATTCTGGCAAAACCAATGATGGTACTTTTTAAGACATTGGTAGTATCTAAGGTGGAATATTGTTGCATTCTAACAGTACCATTCAAAGCTGGAGAAATTGCTGACCTGGAGAACATGAAGAGACGTTTTACTACCCGAATCATTTACTAAAACATCTAAATTATTGGGATTGCGAAAAATCTCTGAAGCTGTATTCCTTACAGTGCAATGGGATATACATAATCACTGGAAAATATCAGAAGGATTGGTTCAAAATTTGCACACGGAAATGACTCCCAACAAAATTACAAGGCATGGCAGGAAGTACAAAATAGTCCCGTTGAAAAGCAGAGGTGTAATAGGTACGCTACCTTGTGATGATTTCGGGGTTCAACGTCTCTGCGGCCCGGTCATCGTCCAGGCCTCCTGGTTGCTGGACTGATAAACCACGCTGTTGGACGCGGCTCCTCGCAGCCTGACGTATGAACCACAGCCTGGTTTATTAGGTATCAACCAGGTATCCTTTGGAGGTGTTTATCCAAGTTCTCTCTTGAACACTGTGAGGGGTCGGCCAGTTATGCCCCTTATGTGTAGTGGAAGCGTGTTGAACAGTCTCGGGCCACTGATGTTGATAGAGTTCTCTCTCAGAGTACCTGTTGCACCTCTGCTCTTCAACGGGGGTATTCTGCACATCCTGCCATGCCTTCTGGTCTCATGTGGTGTTATTTCTGTGTGCAGGTTTGGGACCAGCCCCTCTAATATTTTCCACGTGTAAATTATTAAATATCTCTCCCGCCTGCGCTCAAGAGAATACAGATTTATGCATTTTAGTAGATCCCAGTAGTTTAGATTTTTACCGAGTGGATTCTAGAAGTAAAGAGGTAAGAGTTCTAGCGCTAAGAGAATTCTATAAACATCAAAACTTTTCACCACTCCCCCTCTATACATGGATGACATAACTACCGACCTCTCATGGTGTTCAAAAGAGGATACTTGATCAACCGGGCTGTGATTTATACGCTCGATTCCATTGTATAGGCTTCATGCAGCGGCGTCTACCAGCCTGATAGGCCAGATCAGCATCCAGGAGGCCTGGTCAGAGACCGGGCCGCAACAACACTGATCTTGAGAACCACCTCACGATAAGGGGGGTCACTATGTGTTGTTCACTGGAAGTGAATGTCACCAAAATAAATTCGTGCATTGCACTGTTGATGTACGCACGGCGGGGCGTGCAGGGAACCCAGATGAGGCCATTAAGTGATGTTAATCCGCATCCTCTTGTCACACCTCCTCTTCTGTTTATTTTCTTCACGAGACAGTGTCCTGAAAGGTCAGCTGGGCTGCCAGCCCCCAGCCTGCCACACTGGCTCACAACATCAACACCTTTTATGAAATGTTTGTAAATTTACGATTTTTTTATACGATTCAAACTTCAGCATTTTGTGTAAATCTTCATGTATACGGTTGATGTATTGGATGTGGCCAGACGCTGCAAGGTATGAAAGCATGTCAACAAAGCATTGAAAATGAAGCAACCAATTGGCAGGTCTTTCTGTCTTAATAAACCTGCATAGAATATCGATCATATCCACATACTGGAGTTACAGTTTAGCAAACAAACTAGAATTTTCAAGTTTTTGTAAGCCCCAGAGATATCAAAATCTTATTTCTTTCCACATTAGAAGTGAGAAGTGACCCAGACAGCAGATGTTACCCGGTACACTGACCAGGGAGCCGAGAAACTGTCCTCGGTAATAACTCAGTAATGACAATAGCGGAAATTATCAGCGTATTCAATGCAGCATCAACAAGCAAGTGACCTTTTACTGCACAGTTCCAATTAATATAATGGTATAGTAATGCAGCTGGTCCAATATTCGTACTGCTGGTCCAGTGATCATAGTACTGGTCCAGTGATCACAGTACTGGACCAGTGATCATAGTACTGGTCCAGTGATCATAGTTCTGGTCTAGTGATCATAGTTCTGGACCAGTGATCATTGTACTGGTCCAGTGATCATAGTTCTGGTCCAGTGATCATAGTTCTGGACCAGTGATCATTGTACTGGTCCAGTGATCATAGTACTGGTCCAGTGATCACAGTACTGGACCAGTGATCATAGTACTGGTCCAGTGATCATAGTACTGGTCCAGTGATCATAGTACTGGTCCAGTGATCACAGTACTGGACCAGTGATCATTGTACTGGTCCAGTGATCATAGTTCTGGTCTAGTGATCATAGTTCTGGACCAGTGATCATTGTACTGGTCCAGTGATCATAGTTCTGGTCCAGTGATCATAGTTCTGGACCAGTGATCATTGTACTGGTCCAATGATCATAGTTCTGGTCCAGTGATCATAGTTCTGGACCAGTGATCATTGTACTGGTCCAGTGATCATAGTTCTGGTCCAGTGATCATAGTTCTGGACCAGTGATCATTGTACTGGTCCAGTGATCATAGTTCTGGTCCAGTGATCATAGTTCTGGACCAGTGATCATTGTACTGGTCCAGTGATCATAGTTCTGGTCCAGTGATCATAGTTCTGGACCAGTGATCATTGTACTGGTCCAGTGATCATAGTTCTGGTCCAGTGATCATAGTACTGGACCAGTGATCATAGTACACTGATCACTGGTCCAGTCATCATAGTTCTGGTCCAGTGATCATAGTACTGGTCCAGTGATCATAGTACTAGTCCAGTGATCATTGTACTGGACCAGTGATCATTGTACTGGTCCAGTGATCATTGTACTGGTCCAGTGATCATAGTACTGGTCCAGTGATCATAGTACTGGTCCAGTGATCATAGTACTGGACCAGTGATCATAGTACTGGTCCAGTGATCATACTACTGCTCCAGTGATCATAGTACAGGTCCAGTGATCATAGTACTGGTCCAGTGATCATAGTACTGGACCAGTGATCATTGTACTGGTCCAGTGATCATTGTACTGGTCCAGTGATCATAGTACTGGACCAGTGATCATTGTACTGGTCCAGTGATCATACTACTGGTCCAGTGATCATAGTACTGGTCCAGTGATCACAGTTCTGGTCCAGTGATCATAGTACTGGTCCAGTGATCATAGTACTGGTCCAGTGATCATAGTTCTGGTCCAGTGATCATAGTTCTGGTCCAGTGATCATAGTACTGGTCCAGTGATCATAGTTCTGGTCCAGTGATCATAGTAGTAATCCAGTGATCATAGTTCTGGTCCAGTGATCATAGTAATCCAGTGATCATAGTTCTGGTCCAGTGATCATAGTACTGGTCCAGTGATCATAGTACTAGTCCAGTGATCATAGTACTGGTCCAGTGATCATAGTACTGGTCCAGTGATCATAGTTCTGGTTCAGTGATCATAGTTCTGGTCCAGTGATCATAGTAGTAATCCAGTGATCATAGTTATAGTCCAGTGATCATAGTACTGGTCCAGTAATCATAGTTCTGGTTCAGTGATCATAGTACTGGTCCAGTAATCATAGTTATAGTCCAGTGATCATAGTACTGGTCCAGTGATCATAGTTATAGTCCAGTGATCATAGTACTGGTCCAGTGATCATAGTACTGGTCCAGTGATCATAGTACTGGTCCAGTGATCATAGTTATAGTCCAGTGATCCTAGTACTGGAACAGTGATCATAGTTCTGGTTCAGTGATCATAGTACTGGTCCAGTGATCATAGTACTGGTCCAGTGATCATAGTACTGGTCCAGTGATCATAGTACTGGAACAGTGATCATAGTACTGGTCCAGTGATCATAGTACTGGTCCAGTGATCATAGTTCTGGTCCAGTGATCAAAGTACTGGTCCAGTGATCATAGTACTGGTCCAGTGATCATAGTACAATGATCACTGGTCCAGTGATCATAGTACTGGTCCAGTGATCATAGAACTGGTCCAGTGATCATAGTTCTGGTCCAGTGATCATAGTACTGGTCCAGTGATCATAGTACTGGTCCAGTGATCATAGTACTGGTCCAGTGATCATAGTACACTGATCACTGGTCCAGTGATCATAGTACTGGAACAGTGATCATAGTTCTGGTTCAGTGATCATAGTACTGGTCCAGTGATCATAGTACTGGTCCAGTGATCATAGTTCTGGTCCAGTGATCATAGTACTGGTCCAGTGATCATAGTACTGGTCCAGTAATCATAGTTCTGGTTCAGTGATCATAGTACTGGTCCAGTGATCATAGTACTGGTCCAGTGATCATAGTACTGGAACAGTGATCATAATACTGGTCCAGTGCTCATAGTACTGGTCCAGTGATCATAGTACTGGTCCAGTGATCATAGTACTGGTCC